GAGAGCTTATCAAGGTCCTTGATGGCTGTTTATTTCCTTGATCTCCTTATGAAATATGGGTGAAGCCGCAGGCTAGCGGAGCCACTACACCTCCCCATTTGTCCACCTCTGCGACTGCTACTGCTGCTAACCACACCGATGGGCAGGGAGATCCCCACACTCCGCCCTAAATCAGGATAATACCTCTCTGTTAATAAGCTGTTTCTGTTCACAGCATGACCTTCTCTAAGATGGGGCTGTGTAGTGTGGTTAAGGGGTGGTGGGAGAAGCCCAGGCAAGAATCCCATAAGACTTCACTGAAAGACATCATCCAAAATTCAGTTGTTTTTCATGAATAATCACTTCCTGATTTGGTTTATGCCACTGGTCCTGGGTTGATTTACATTGCATTTAAAATCTTATTTTGACAGTTTTGTTCAGTTTTATTATTGCTTATTGGGAAGAGGATCTCCTAAACTCTTTACTGTGTCACACTCTGTCATATATTTTGTAACATCACCCCAGAGTCACACATGACTGTTAGTGCTGTCAACATAAATATTATTTGAAAATGACATTGGATTTTGATTTTTTCTTTTTCACAAACTTTTAAAAGTTTTCTTATTTATATATAATATTTATTATGTTTCTTTCCATTACCATTTATTTAGTCCCCTTAGTCTCCCCTCCCCCCAGCAATCACCACACTGTTGTCCATGTCCATGAGTCCTTTTTCCTTTTTGCTCAGTCCCTCCACTTCCTAACTTCCCCTCTACCCCCACCTAGCTGTCATCTGTTCTCCATCGATGAGTCTGTCTCTGTTTTGCTTGTTAGTTCAGTTTGTTCACTAGATTCCACATATGAGTGAAATCATAAGGTATTTGTCTTTCTCTGACTGGCTTATTTCACTTAGCATAATGTTCTCCAAGTCCATCCATACTGTTGCAAAGGGTAACATTTTCTTCGTTTTTATGGCCAAGTAGAATTCCATTGTGTAAATGCCCCATAGTGTTTTATCCACTCATCTATTGATGGGCACTTGGGCTGCTGCCATATCTTGGTGATTGTAAATAACACTGAAGTGAACATAGGGGTGCTGATGTTCTCTTGAATTAGTGATTTGGGTACCTTTGGATATATTCCCAGAAGTGGGATTGCTGGGTCAAAAGGCAGATCCATTTTTAATTCTTTGAAGTATCTTCATACTACTTTCCACAGTGGCTGCACCAGTCTGCAGTCCCACCACCAGTGCAAAAGGGTTCCTCTTTCTCCACATCCTCACCAGCACTTGTTTGTTGATTTGTTGATGATGGCCATTCAGACAGGTGAAAGATGGTATCTCATTGTGGTTTTTATTTGCATCTCTCTGATGATTAGTGAGGTTGAGCATCTTTTCATGTGTCTGTTGGATATCTCTATGTCCTCTTTGGGGAAGTCCCTTATTTAGGTGCTTTACCCATTTTTTAATTGGGTTTTTTGGGTGTTGAGTTTTGTGAGTACTTTATACATTTTGGATGCTAACCCCTTATCAGATGTATCAGTGAATATGTTCTCCCATTCTGTGGGTTGTCTTTGTATTTTGACAATGGGGGCAAATTAATTCTTTATTTGGATTTAATTAATGTTTTCATTATAACAGAATCTTTTTGCTCATTCCTTTATTGAGTTCTAATTGTGTTCTGGGGTCTGCTCTAATTGTTGTGATGCAAAGACATATAAGGAAGTCCCTGCCTTCCCTGAATTCACAGGTCTAATGGGAAAACAAAATAAAAATAGTTATAATAAAGTACAATGCATGATGTTATATAGGGGTACACAGAGTGCTGTGGGGTCACCCAGAGAGAGTATATGTGTCCTGACCAGTAAGAGTAAGAATTCATAAAATGTGCTGCCTTTGATTGGGACTCAGGAGGGCAGGAGTCTGCTAAGCAAAGGGAATACAACAGATAGGGAATTTGGAACCCGGTAAGTAGTATGTGTTGAGACGTAGTTCAGGTTTAATTCACATCTGAAAAATACTCTGGAGGGTAGGTACATGGTGAAGAGCAGTAGAAGAAGGAACTTCACTAGAATACACATGTACATCTGCTGAGCATTCTGGCCTTTATCCTCTAGGCCAGCAGATACCAGCCAGTGTCTTTAATGCACATGAGACTTTGCTTTTGTCTTGTCTGTGATGAGGAGGAACAGATCTATGGTCGATCAAATAGGAGACTGTCGGACTCTCAGGGTTGAGAAAGAGTGAGTGCAAAAATAGTGGCCACATTCAAAAGATGTTTATGATAACATGGACAGAATTCGGTGATATTGAAATAAGGGAGGGGGACTGTGGGTGGTTGGGCACCAAGGACTGAGAGGGCACTTCGAGGGAGAAGAGACAGCCTCTGGGAAGCCACCAAACAAGAAATCAAGCCAAACGATAAAAGCCAGGTAGATGTGCACATGAGTGACTGGCTCAGCGGACCAGGTAAAGAGGGAGAATCCAGGCAAGAGCAAATATATAGAACTCTGGAGACCAGGCTACAACAACAGTCGTAAGCAGATGGTGTGTGGTGGATCCAAAATAAATTTTCCGAGCGGCCAAGAAGAAAAAGACTGAATCTACCGTTCATGGCCTTAACTGTGGGTGAGGGAAGGGGCAGTAAGAGGTTCCAGTCCAACACGATCATTTTGGCTCCCTTATTTTTCATGAAACTTTGTAATCTAAACCCTTCTTGAAGTTGGGTAATGGTATTGATTAACAATTCCGCCCCTCCCCAGCTAATGTTGTTCCCGTGGGTAACTCACAGGCTGCAGAGAGACCTTCATTAACTCTGCAGTCATTGAGGGATTATTTAGAAAGCCACACCTTAAAGACCGAACAGTGCTGCCAAAGTGTTAATGTACCTTTTCCCCGAAGCGTGAAGGAGCAGATACAAATGGATGCATTGACTGCATATAAAGAGTAAATGATGACCAACCTTGTCTCTGAACCACACTTTTTTAAGAGGTCCCTTTTTATGTGTGACATCCTGTGACTTAATTTTTCCTGTTCATGACATTCTAATGTTTTTTAATTGCCAACATCCGGATTTGCTGTCAGTATGAATCAGGCTTTTTTACATAATGAAGCCAACTTATCTGTCAGCCATCATAATTAATCCATTCTATCTTAATTACCGTTCTATTTCCAGAGCCGATCATTCTCTCTTAAAAACGCGAGGGAAAGTCTGAGTCATTTTTGTGATGATAATCACACAGAATGCCTTTCAGACATGCACACAGGCTCCCTTCGCATTCTTAGGAAGGTTCACAGAGACTTGGTGGAATGTATTAGTGTTCTCCCAGAAACACAGAAGCCAGAAAGGAAATCAGTATGTCAGTCTATTCACTTACCTCATGCAACCACCTTGTCCCACGGTTTTATTTCCCAGAGTTTCACCTAGTCTTGATTCTGTGTCTGTCCAAGGACACGCTGCAGTGTAGGGCACCTGTGTCTCTTTAAAGTAATTACAGGGAAGCACTCACTGCCTGTCAACTCATCTTGGTCACTGGTGCCTGTGTGTGTTGGGGAAGCTCTCATTCATTCATTCCTTAGTGGAGCAAACTCTAATCACTGGGGGCGCAGCAGTGCGTGAGACAAGAGAAAGTTCTGGCTCCCGCTGAGCTCATAAAGCAGTGGGGGAGATAGTAAACAAACGCCAACAGTAGTGATGAGTAATGTGCAGAGAATTGAAAGAGTATGATGTAAGTGGTGGCGGTGCTGTAGATGGAGGGCTCAGGAGGGCTCTCTGAGAAGGTGGCATTCAAGCTGGCCCTTGAATGGCAGGAGATGCCATCAGTTGGCCACAGGACTAAGCGTTGCAGGAGGAAGGCATGGGCAGAGCAAAGGCCGTGAGTGAGAGCGTCATCTGGAACCACGTGAACTGGGCACGTGGTGAGAGATGCGCTCAGAGGGAGGGAGAACACGCGAGGCGGGGAGTGTGGGTTTCATTCCGGGTTCCCTGGAGAGCTGCTGGACGGTGTTAAACAACATAGTGACAGGTTCTGATTGACGTGTTGTACACACTCTGCATGTGTAGAATGGACTGGAGGGGGCAGGTGTGGCACCAGGGAGAGAGTCCCGCTGAGAGATGAGTTTGGCTTGCACCAGAGGTGCAGAAAGGTAGACAGATTTGAGATTTGTTTAGAGACAAATGGAGAAAGTCAGTTTACTGGTGAGCTGGTTGTTGAAGGTGTATTATCGAAAGAGATGAGTCCATGAAAGGTAACCCAGGTTTTTTCTGTTTGATAAATATTAGAACTCCAACATCTTTTAACCATTCTCCAAGGTTACTGCATTTATCGTTTTCAAGGATTGATTCCTTGCACAGTTGCATATTTTCTATGGTTTGGGCAAACTATGACATAGGACTTCCTGGATTCAAATCTGAAATCTCTAACTTAATGGTCATATAACCTCAAGTAAGTCTCCTTATTTAGCTTGTCAGTTTTTTAATTTCCTCTTATAAAAATAAGGAATAATACTTTTACCTGTATGGTAGGGCTGTGGTCAGAAGGGACTAAGGAATTCACATAGCAATACTCAGCACACAGCTAGACTGAGGCAAGCACTCGCTGACTGCTAGTGTTGGTGAGGGTGCTATGTTCTTGCCAGCCGCCTTGCTAGTGCGCGGTCAGTTCCCAGTTACCAGACTTCCAATAAAAACGTTAAGCAACAAATAATTTCTGCTCCTTGATTCCTAATTTTTCATGTATTATTTTGATACTCTTAAAAAGACTATCTTAACAATAATCCTGGCTTAATAGAGCCCCGACTTCTACATCTGATCATATTTGTTTATTTTTAAAGTAAATCTTTAATTATTTTGGGTTTAAACATCTGAAGCCTGTTAGAGAGAGGGTTTGAACACTGTCAGCTTTATTATAAAGTTAGTGTTTTCAACCCTTAAAATGGAGTGAGAGGGGATCAGAGTCTGAGTCTAAGATTGTATACATTATATGAAATAATAAAAGCTTCATAGACTGCCTCCACCAGCGCCATGACAGCCTGTGGGCGCTGCTCGGATGCACCACTCCTCCACGTGTGCCACCCGCTTCCCTTCAGACGTAGGTCCAGGTTGGATCTGCTGTGGGAAGAGGCGCTGTTTGTTTGGATCACAGGGTAATCCAGAAGCCCTTGTACCGAGTCTTCCGTTTCCATGTAAACACCAGTTCCTGTCACTCTGACAGGCTGCAGCTGCATTTCAGGCTCTGGAGATTGGTTATTTACATCTCCAAATAGGCTGCTGAACAGTGGGGAAGTAGAGCAGGTCAGCACAGCATATGTTTGAATTTGCATGGGCAGATGCGCTTGAAAATAATGAGGACATTCTTTTAAATTGGTTCCTTAGTTATCGATGTGGCAGGCAAATGTTTCCTAGTTTGGGCTGGGACTGACGTATATGGAGCAAATGGTACTTTTCGTGAACAAATGGTACTTTTCATGAGATAACACATTAACCTAATTTTTCAAAGCTCTGCGTTTCATCTTCCACGGAAGTTGGCGGGGCAGGGCGCAGCCTGTCTTTGCTGGAGGAATCTCCGTGTCGTCGCCGACACGCAGCTCTGCCCAGCACGGGTGGCTTTGCTTTGGAGTTCCTTTCTGCGCAAAATGTTCAACATTGAGTGCACGCATAGTCCCTGGTTCTCCTGGTCTCAGATTCTTTGTTTCTTCTTGCATTTTTGATGGCGTGAAAAATGAATTTAATTCAAAGCTTTTTATACAGTGTGGCAGCTGTAAACTGTCCCCTCTTTGATATAACAGGAGTCCCTAAGCGCAGGGCAGAGGTGGTACTCTGTCAAACCACTGGCCAGTTGAATATACAGTGTGTGGAATCTGCTCATTTGGGGTGTTGGCTCCCACAGTTTGCCTCACCTAGACATTGTGCTCACTGCATGGATGCTGTACTAAGTTTTTTAAAAGTCATAGTATTTCTAAATACTGTAGAAAATTGGGATAGAGTGTGGACTTTCTGGAAGTCAAAACTAAATTTGTGTGTGTGTCTGTTTTGAAACTTACACTTGTTGGGGTGGGGAAAATCAACTGATAACCCTACAGCTTTCCTTCTACCTTGTCCAAAGACCGGGGGTCGTGGATACTTCAAAGCTCCGTGCGAGGGTCTCCATGGACATAAAGAAAGAATCAGCTGTGGGTTCTCAGCTCTGTCGGCACGCCGACCAGTGACCGTCGGGCTCCCGTCCACCCTCAGGGCTTCCTGTGCGTGCCCGGTGGGGATCTCTGCCCCCACTGCTGGTTTAGGAGCAGGTCTCCCCGGTGAGCAAAAAAGGGGAAAAAATAGGAAAAACCCACGGGCACAGTAACAGTGTGATGATCGCTGGAAGGAGGGAGAAGAAGGTATGGGGGGATGAATGGTGATGGACAGAGACTTGACTCGGGGCAGTGAACACACAACACGGTGCACAGATGGTGTGTTGTGGACTTGTGCACCTGAAACCTGCATCATTTTGTTATTAGTGTCACGCTGATAAAGTCAATAGATAGGAAAGAGAGAGCAGGTGTACCCCTGCGGTAAAATATCTTATCGTTTTAAAATGCAGCCCCCCAACTTGATTATACTAATGTTAATGTTTATTTGTAAGTTTTAATTTTTTCCCAGAAACATATATATGTGGACATAATTCACTTTGTTTGTGTTGTTTTTTTCTACCACAGACACGGGGGCAGAAAGACAGACACTAAGAGAAAATGTGTATCCTAAATTGAGAGAATTCTGCAGAGAAAATTATGGATTAGAATTTCAGGTAAGCCTGATACTTATTTCATTTTTCATTATGTCAGCTAAATAACTAATATTTGTTGTTTGTTTCTGGTTACAACTTGGGTGCTATAAATGAGAAATTTTAAGCCCTGGGAAATGTCATTCCTATCAGAGTGGGTAAGAAAAAGCACTGGAAAAGCTAGATAAAATATTTAGTCACTTTGCATGTTTTGCACTTTTATGCTCTTTCTTGGACTCTGCCTTTTATTGGCTTGTCTCTTTCTTTGAACCATGTTTATTTGCTTTTTTGACATTTTCCACTCTTATCAAGACAGTGAGGGCTGTTGAGTACCTGCCTGTGAGCCGCAGTCTCCAGAAATGATTTGCACCTGGAGGTCGGGGCCAGCTTCCTCACAGGCATCTCCTTGCAGCAGTCCAGCAGCTCTCGCCTTCTTTCTTGCCTTTTAGTTTTACTCACATTGCAGACTGTGCATTTCCCAAGCATTTCAGGGATCTACCATTTACCAAAAAAAATTAAATCAGCCTTCCAAGACAGAGTTTTAGCCATTACTAAAGTTTATAAAAGCTTTGGTAGACACCATTGATTTTGCCACCTAAGAGAAAAATACTTAACAACGTGGATGTATCTTGGACATCCAAAAATTGAGTGTGAGAGTGCAAAACGCACACTCACACCAGTGTTAGTGGAAGAAAATGCCACCCTTTGTTTGTTTCCTCCTGCATGTATGTTTCCTCTTGGCACACCTCAGGATGCCTGCTAATGTGGTGCGTAAGATAGTAGTCTCCGATGACTCCAGTCTCAGTGCATCGTGTCAGTCAGCAGTGGGGCATCGACGTACTTGCTGAACAGTTACTCGTAAGGTACCATTTGTTTGGTAACTTAGGAAACAAAATTAAATTTCTTGTTGTGAATTTAGCATTATCTTTTTTGAGGAATCTACTGGTGGTTCTACTGATAACAGGGTCTCAACTGTTAAGCAGAGTGTCAATCTGTCAAGATTCCCAAAGACTTAGACAAACAACCTTGGGCACCCGGTTACCAGGGGAAATGTGCCCGAGCATGTTAATCCCACTTAGAGGGAGTTTGGGTTGGCATCCTTGTTGTTCATAGAGGGAGGGAGTCTTTGGACTATAGAACAGAGTCCTTAACACATGGTATCGATTAGGACTAGCTGAGGAGAGATATAGAGAAAGTGTATTTTCTGAATGACAGGCAGGCACAGGAGAGGACAGATGAAGCTAAGAGAAAACTATGGCAAGCAAGGTGCGGCGTAGAAGGAACTGATGGCAAGGATCCTTCTAGGCAGGTTCAGTGAATCGGCTGATGAGACAGGTGCTGGGCAGCAGTGAAAACGGCGGTGAGCAAAGCAGACGCAGCCCCAGCTGCGTACTGCAGGTGACTTAACCTGCCAGTCCTTCAGCTTGGCGTCTAAAATGGGGGTGGTGACCGCTCGCAGGTCTGAGGTTGTGTTCAGAATAAAATATACAAGGTTGCATTTGCTTTCCAGCTTCCGAGCTCAACAGAAGCTCAATGAGATAACTGAACCTTCTAAGAATACACTTTTTGATGTGTTCTTTTCTGGTAGGTCGATTATAGATTTCCATGAAGATATGTTTTTCTAGAGAGATAGTTCTCTTTTCAACTGCAACAAAATATGGTGCCAGAAACCTCATGAAAAAACCACCTTACCCATATGGTAGCTTGGATTCTACCCGTAGTTGTGCTGTGAACCCCGGAAAAATGAATTTCCTAGAGTTGCTCGAACATCCCAGTCATGCCTCTTGCCTTTGCTTATGTAGTTCTCTCCACCTACAGCGTGCATTTTTCACTCTGGCTCTTCCCCGGCATCATCTCCTGAGTCCTACTCATTTCTGAAACTCTTCCTATCTGATCTTAAGTCATGCCCTCTCCCCTTTGCTCACTGCCCTTTGGCCGCGTGTCCTCCATCTGGCTGCTTGAATGCTTCTAGCCCGTTCCTGTTTAAGGATTTCCCCTGGATGTTCTCTCTCTGTAGCAACGGCTCGCCTCCCCATCTTCTGATTGTCCTCCAGATCTCCACTGAAATGCTACTTCCCCAGTGGCCCAGTCCGGAGGAACCACTCAGGCACTCCTTTCCATCACCCTGGTTTAGTTGTTTGCATTGCATGTGTCCATATTGGGCACTTTTGTTTGCTCGTGTGTTGGCTTGCTTTTTGTCTTTCTCCCTGTAGAATGTGAGTTCAAAGGCAGGGACTTGTCTGCCTTTGTGACAGCTATATTCCTGGTCCTAGAATAGTTCCTGTCACATAGGAAAACTCTGTAAAAATGCGTTGCATGAATAAGTGAATGCCTACATGAGCATGTGAGTGAAGAAAGTCTCAGGCCAAACACTAGTTGCTTAGGGAATCCTTCTCTGATCCCCCATCCCTCCCAAGATGTACCTTGTACCCTTCTCTTTACCCCATGAAATCCTACACATACCTCCCAACCATTCATTGAGAATGATTCAAGATGTATTTATTGACCCTTAGCCACGTTCCAGTCAATGTTCTAGGTATTGGGGATAATAGCAAACCAAATAATTGACTCCCAAATATCTCTCCCTTTCTACTCCCTGAATTCTTACAAATCTACCCCACCCAGCCCCCACTGGTCCCCTGAGCCCCCAGTAAACCTGCTTAGGGCAGAGACCTCTAATGGGGTTCTGGACTGATCTAAGCACAAGACACCTCCATTTCGAAAGCAGTTTTTATTTGAGTCCAGCCACTCAACTTCGTGTCATTTCTTAAGACTACATTCTGATGCCGACTTCTTTCGTGGTCATCTAGTAATTGTCTCACTTCATCTCAGTCACCACAGCTCATACACCTGTTCCTTTCTCCTCACCTTTGACATCCCGTGAATCCCGAAGACCTGTGGATTCCACCTCCCTAAACATTTCTCCAGTCTGTCCCCTTCGTTCCAATCTGCACTCTCATCTTGATTGTCACAATAGACGCAGTGCTGGCCTGTTCACCTTCACCTCTTCCTCCTTCTCTCCAGCACCAGCCTCCTACCCACCTTGACCACCTGGCCCAGCCCCCATAACATGGCGGCAGTGGGGGTTCTGAAATGCACATCTGACTGTGTCATCTCCAAGACACAGTCTGCACTTCTTAGCACAGCATGCAAGGTCCTCTTTTCCACCCCAGCCTACAAGTGAGGTCTTACCTGTCACCTCCCCACAGGCAGGCTAGTTTAGCCTTTTGGAACTGCATTCAATTTTTTTAAACAGGTTCTGTCTTTTTCCTGAGTCTTAATACTCACCTTGTCCTCGTTGCAGGGTGCCCTTGAATTGCCCACCATACAAATGACTAGACAAAGTTCTACTTATTCTTTAGTAAACAGTGGACTTCCTACTGTAAGATTCCATGGTGCTTTATTCCTAATATTTAATAGCATTTATCATATTGTTTTTAATTACTGTTATTTTTTATTGTATTTTATTGACTATGGTGTTAAAGTTGTCCCAATTTTTCCCCCTTCTTCTCCCTCTCCACCCAGTCCCTCCCACTCCCTGGGCAATCCCCCCACCATTGTTCATGTCTGGGGGTCATGAGTATGGGTTCTTCAGCTGCTCCCTTTCCTACACTGTGCTTTACATCCCCACGGCTGTTCTTTAACCACCTATTCCTACTTCTCAGTCCCCTCACCCCTTCACCCATTCCCAGACCCCCTCCTCCCCTCTGGCAACCATCAACAACTCTATGTAGCCATGATTCTGTCTCTGTTCTTCTTGTTTGCCTAGTTTGTTTTTTAGATTCAGTTGTTGACAGGTATGTATTTATTGCCATTTTATTGTTCATAGCTGTGGTCTTCTTTTTTTAAATAAGTCCCTTTAACATTTCGTATAATAATGGTTTGGTGATGAACTCCTTTAGTTTTTTCTTATATGAGGAGCTCTCTATCTGCCCCTCCATTCTAAATGATAGCTTTGCTGGGTAGAGCAAGCAATCTTGACTATAGGTCCCTGCTTTTCATGACTTTGAATATTCCTTGCCAATCCCTTCTAGCCTGCAAAGTTTCTTTTGAGAAATCAGCTGACAGTGTGATGGGAACTCCCCTGTAAGTAACTAACTTCTTTTTTTCTGCTGTTTTTAAGATTCTCTCTTTATCTTTAACCTTTGGCATTTTAATTATGATGTATCTTGGAGTGGGCCTCTCTGAGTCCATCTTGCATGGGTCTTTCTGTGCTTCCTGGACTTGCATGTCTATTTCCTTCACCAAATTAGGGAAGTTTTCTTTCATTATTTTTTTAAATAGATTTCCAATTTCCTGCTCTTTCTCTTCTGCTTCTAGCAATCTATGATGCAAATGTTGGACCTCTTGAAATTATCCCAGAGGCTGCCTACACTATCCTCATTTTTTTTGGATTCTCTTTTCTTCTTATTCTGATTGGTTGGGGTGCATCCTTATGTTCCAAATTATTGATTTGATTCTCAGCTTCATCTACTTTATTGTTGTTTCCCTGTAAATTATTCTTTATTTCAACTAGTATATCCTTCATTTCTGACTGGATCTTTTTATGCTGTTGAGGTCCTGACTAAGTTCCTTGAGCATCCTTATAACCAGGGTTTTTAACTCTGCCTCTGATAGATTGCTTATCTCCACTTTGTTTGTTTGATCTGTTCTTTCATTTGGGCTGTGTTTCTTTGTCTCCTCATTTTGGCAGCCTCCCTATGTTTGGTTCCATGTATTAGATAGAGCTGCTGTAACTTACTGTTAGAGTAGCATGGCCTGATGCCTGTAGGTAACCTGTAAGGTCCAGTGTCACAGCCTCCCCTATCACTCAGCCTGGGTGTTCAAGGTATGGCCTCCATGTGGGCTCCATGTGAGTAACCCCTCCTCTTGTAGTCGAGCCTTGATTGCTGTTGGCCAGTCAGTGGGAGGGATTTACCTAGGCTGGTTATCACTATGACTGGATATGACCACTGACCACCAACCTCTGCCCTCTGTGGAGGATCAGCTATGCAGTGGCAGGGTGGTGGTGCTCCAGCATGGTC